GTTCACAGTTTTGCACCTATACTTCACAATCTTTTTACATTCATTAGTAAAAAATTCTAGGGTGCTTTTTGAAAACCCACAATACCCACTTATACTTTGGCTAGTATGGCACATTTTCTTTGATGTCCAAAAAACAGTTTTGTAAAAAAATATTAAAAAAATAGTACTGGGGCATAAAGAAACAAATATTTGGGTATACAGTGATTTTGTGATCTCAAAGAACAAGCAAGTATTCAGCAACTACAATTAGAGAATCCCATGCATATTGAATATAGATCATACCTGCTTTATTAAACAAAAGTTTTAATCACAATCCCTGTTTGTCACCTGTAAGTGTATGTGTAGGGCAATAACATAAACATATGAGTACAAGGAATTGTGGGTCTTTACATACTATTACTATATACATTACTGTGTTATATGATGGTGCACTGTTATATCGTGTTTTTGTGCTAAACATTATTGAAAAAAGAATCCGCAGCATTATCTTGCCTGCTACCCCTGTCAGAGCAAACTAAAAAAGTGGTATCTACTGCAATCTGCAATGTTTTTATATGTAGGGTCTTTGTTCTCAGACTGGTCAAATTATATTATTGATAAGAGCACTTTTGTATATCTAATATCTCCAAGTGTGAAACTGTAAGTATGTATATGCAAGTCCATCCAAGCAACCAAGCACACAAAGGAACCTATCTAGATAGAAATATGGAATATGCTAATGCTAACCTGTCGCTGAAGTTGCATAGTTCAGGTCTGCTATGCTTTAGTTTTGTTTAATTTATTAGGTTTATTGGATATTATATTAGGTATTATATGATTTGGAACAAGCATGCTCATTTTGAAAGGTAAATCTATGCATCTAATTGAAATTGTGAAAGAAGTACCTTAGTTGATCCAAGGTATCTTTTGCTCTAAAGTTAAGTCATCTAAACTGCCCAGTGTGACTTTTAATTTGGCAGTATTATACCAGATAGTGTGTTGTAGTAATCCGTTAAATATTCTTTTGAAAGTTATGTATGTAAGTAGGTTAGACTATGTCAAGAAATGTGTTTTGACATAGTAAGTAAGGCTGAATTAAGACACAGGCCCATCTAATTCAACCTATGTATGTGTGTGTCTTTCATGAATAAAATATTTGGCATGACTAATAATACTCAAATATTTTTAATAAAATATATTTTCTATGAATTCTGATTAGAGACCAAGGATATGCACAGCTTTAAAAAAAATATTGTACATTTGTGCAATGTGGTCAATAAACAATTGTGTAAATTTAAAATTTCCACATTAAGCATTTATCAAATTAGTTATCTTAACCTTAGTTTAATGCTAACATAGTATATAACCAAATTAGATAACTTAAGATTAAAGGAAATCAACTAAGGTAATCTGTCTCAATGTATACCTACACACTAATCCAGGGGTGGGAAACCTCAGCACTCCAGCTGTGGTGAAACTACAAATCCTATCATGTCACAACAGCTGAAGTTCTGAGGCTGTCTACCCCTGCACTAATCTATTAAATTACAACATTCATTTTTTTTATTTATTTTAAAATGTATTTAACTTTTTATATTGTGACACTGCTACTAACCCAGATCTTAACTTTTCACAGCTGAAGAAGCTGAGACTGAGAAGGGAGAAAATATAAAGTAGCATGCAGCGGGAAAGTTTGTTGCTGTGCACAAATCAGTAAAAATATACTTGATACTGGAATACTAGGTACTCATGTACCATCTGTCCGAAAGATGCTAAGCAAAAGGCAACACCACTGAACATAGTGGTGCTGCAACAGGTTAAAATATGACCCGTTAAAAATCTGAGATCATTGAAACGTAGAAACCCAGATCAAAATGTACCAAATTAGTAGGTATTAGTCAACTTGACAATAACTAATTTGCCTACCCATAAAATGTGTACTTTGTTTTTTAAGACATATATACGCTTTTATAAAAATCCCTCTCTTTTTAATAATAAGCTGACATATAGACAAACATGTTAAACAATACATTTTGATTATTTTACGCATGACAGATTTAATCAAACTTACTGTTTTCAATATTTTATTACACACTGCTATGATTTACACTACTTGAGTGCATAGAGAGAGCCACAGTTACTAACAAACCTATACCTACCCCTGGACTATACATACATTGAATCTCTTGTAGTACACATATGATGGAAACATATGCTGCACTAAATATAAAAATCTGACTATTACTTGTCAGCTTATTAGGGAGAAAGAACAATGGCATCATATTGATGGCATCATAAAAATGGCATCAATAAATTAATTATAAGACTTTGTAAACATATATTTTTTAACATTGGGTCTATTTTATTCTGTTTATGTTTTACCATCAGTTTGGAATGTCTGGAGCATCTTGAGACATACATCTGGTTTTGAGACATAGGAGTGTTTGAAAAAATTGGGACTTCTGAATTTCTAGACAACACTAAGGAACTTGTGACAAAGGCACCATGCCAAGTTACTGAAATATCTGAAAAGTCCCAATGAAGTCATTACTGCCATCTGAAGTTGACCAATGATCAGAAGTTATATGCATTATGTACATCCTACTGTACATGTTAATGCAATTTTGTAATAAACCAGACTAGCTTCATCATATCCTTGGTGTCTGTATGTATTCATCTCCAATGTCGCAATATTGCATCATAATTTGGGTCCACTGGTAATGGTGATGGCAGGTATTTGTACCTGCACTTATATGTATTTCCCTGACAGGACATCAACTTAATTCAGACATTATCAATAACTTTAATATGCCATGGTTTGAGAGAAAAGTACCAGGGGGGGGTTAAGCATGACATCAAAACTATAGTGTATTGTTTTACAGAAAAAGGCATATATTGTAGTGATTGTATGTACAATTCCCAGGCCACATTTTTATCAGGAATGACAGATCATTTTATCAGATTTTTATTTATAAAAGTAATAGTATCATGTATTTGTTTAATTAACAACAACACCTGAAAACTGTTGCAGTGCCTACATATGCGCTATTAAATAAACTGTGCTAGGCCCCATTTTGTGCAGGATGCCCATCATCCATTGCAAATCTAAAAAACCTTACAGTGATATAAATTTACAAATTCCACCAAGGGATTTTTGCAATGTGGCAAATTTGTAATCATTTGGACCAGGACCCCACCATTCATTGTAAAATAGAGAAATCACCATTAAGTGCCCATACACCTGTCGATTATCGTACGATAATCGGCAGGTGTGTGGGCAGCATGCGACCTCTTCTACTGTAAGCAATTGATTGCTGACATTCGCGGCGCCATCCGCGGTCACCCCCCACTTCAAGGGACATATCGGTAAGGAGTGCGACAAGGATAGTACTTATTACGCTTCTACTGTAAGGTCGCACGACTTTCATCTTCCGAGCACGCTGGAAAACCTGGCGAAAATCGTATGATTTTCGGCGGGTTGGTGGTGTGGTCGGAAGACGCATGCTGCGCGGGCCAGTGTGCGCAAGCGCACACTGCCCGCTCAGCACTGCAATAATCGGAAGCCTTCCCCTAAGCGGGGAGGGCTTGCGACGAATGCAAGTATGATCTGCCTCCAAGATGGGCAGATCGCACAAAATTTTAATGAGCTTACAACCATCGCACAACGAAAGTCATGCGATGGTTGTAAGGTGTACAGGCAGCTTAAGAGTGAATACAGTCACATAAATTATTTTTTTGTGCTCAGCATTTAGGTATTTGTACTATGCCTAATATTTAAAAGTTCCCCCCCAACAGCCATTATAAAATGAAAAATTGTAGTGTATTTTTTAAATTAAGAACTTTATTCATAGAAAAAAAACACCTTAAATATTGTACTGCGTACATTCAGTGTCTTAAAATACACTTTTACTAGTCCATCAGCAGGACGCAAAAAGCCCAGCTATTAAAAAAGAGCTACAAAATACTGGAGTAAGGAAATGTATTGTTTTTGAAAACAATAACTAAGCCACATTGTTAAGTTGACTCACACAAACCAACCTTTCAAATAGAAAAAAATCAGTGTATGTATTTTACTGCGAAAAAAGAACACAGAATATTATAGTGTGCAGTCTTTAAATAATTTAATAAACAATGCATCATACCTCCTTTTTTAAACTTTACCGAAAGAAAACAAAAATTAAAACATTAAAAAATGTGGGCTACAGCTGCCAAAAAGCAACTGAAAATACTGCTGTGACACACACACAGATATGCATATCTGTCTGTGATTGGTGTGCTGGTGACATTTCTACATTTTTGCTGACATCCGCTGCGCCATCCGCGGTCACTGCGAGCACCCCCCACTACAAGGGACATATCGGTAAGGAGTGTGACAAGGATAGTACTTATGGTACTTGATAAAACCCCATGATTAGCCCTTCTAACCTGAACCAGAGATCAGTGGCTAGAATGTGCTTTATTGGCAATGGTTGCTATGGCAGAGAATAATCACAATAGATTATCAGATTTTCGTGAACAGCTAAAGTTTGGGTGGAACTCATGATTATGATCACTCCTGATTGGCTCATCACGGCAGAAGTGAAAGCAAAACCACGCTTCCACAGTGAAGTTGTTCTTGACATCCTCTCCATACAGCAGTAGATACTGCTGATTACATCACTACTAGAAGTGATGTGCTGCTGCATGGGGATTCTGGATCAGGTCTCCATCCCTCAGTATAGAAAGAAAGTGTTCAAAAATTGTTAACAGATAAATAGGGGATTTAGGGAGACAAAGGCATGGGTACTCAAGTGGTTAATGTAAGTGAATGATATGTTTGGGGGTGTTGGTGTGTGTGTACAGGATGAACAAAATAGAATGTTAAAAAATCTGAATCATCTGTTTCAAATATCTACTATAAGTAATATAATATTGCCAGTTATTCATATAGATCAATGCTTTTTTGTAACCATGCTGCAAGCACCATGCAATGGAATGCACATAAGAAAGGTAATTTCAAAATGATTGTGTAATATACCTACATAATTCCAAGTGTATGTGATGCACTTTCTGAATCAGCTTCTACCAGTATTGTGCTTCTCCACTCCAATAGCTCATGTGTATGCTGATAAAAGGGGAATACAAATCCAGGTTAGATTTATAATTTTCTATCAGTATTAGATGTAGGAGTTCTCTGTTCCTAAACAAGATGCTTAGCAGTTGAGAAAAGTAACACAATTAGTAATTGATAGTGTTTAATAGAATTTTCATGGTGTTATGACTAAAGTCATTTAAGTTGGAAGGCACTCATTTTTTAAATTCACATCCATGTGCATACAAAATGGGTACACATAAATGTTTAATACCATATATAAGGTGTATGTGTTTGATGTTGTACCTTTTTTTTAAATGGGATAAAATCCAAAGTAAGATATGTTAAAAATCCATGTGCACTCCTTCATCCTAAATAAACCAATATGCGCTACCATAAATCTGCTATTAATGGTCATTAGGTAAATAATCAGACACCAAATATGTGAAAAAATAACTATGGTGTCCAGCTTTGTAGCCTGGAAATATAAAAGCTGCAGTTGATAAGCTATTGCAAAGTCATAGTCATTAGTATTCTCTTTGGACTCATTTCACCCAGTGGTACAAATATTATTATCCGTAACCATAGGCAGCTGCAACAACTAATAAAGTTTTATACAGTGACTGCTACCTCAGTGACCATAATGATTATGTATTCTACAGACATGCAGGACAGGGCTTACTATGGGGCTTTTTTTCATAGAATATAAAGTTCCTCCTTTTGGCTAATTTTCTATAAAACCATCCTACAATTTACAAAATAGCCATCGGCAGTCTACAGTGGGTGAAAGTGCCTAAGTACCAGACATGGAGCGGAGTAAGGCCAGAACCATGTAGGGAGCACAGTGGGAGGAGAGCACCTTCCCCCAGCCAATCACCCCTTTCATGGATTTACTGAGTCCTCACTAGTGATGGGCTCGGGCGTGTTCGCAGCTCAATGTGCCGAGCCCGCTAGGAAGGTGACAGCGCCAATCACAGGCACTGAGACAAATTCCGACCTCTGCAGCTGAGGACTTGGATAATGTCTCAGTACCTGTGATTGGCGCTGTCAGCTTCCTGGTGGGCTCGGCACGTGGAGTTGCGAACACGCCCAAGCCCATCAATAGTCCTCACATCACACGACCATTCACACTAGTGTTACATGGATGCCAAAAGTGGCAAGCTGGGGGCGGGGGGAACAGGCAGAGCTGGAGGGTGGGCTAAGTTATCATGGGCCTCTGGGTTGTACTTGCCCCCTGGGCTAAAAGTTGCCAGTCAGTCCATGCTGTATTCCACAACTGCCGGACGTCGAGAGCAGATTAAATTGCAAATGGCATCGGCGCTCGGCCGTTGCGGTATGCGGGATTGTGGGCGGCGTTGGACTAAATGTCGCAAACGCGGGGTGCCGATGCCATCTGCAATTAAATCAGCTCATCGGTGGCCAGCGGTTGCGACATGCAATGAAAATTATTAGTGCCCCCCCAGATTTGACTGTTGTATCTTATGTGCCCCCCCTACATATTGTTCCTAGAGTCGCCACTGTCTGGAACAGAATTATTAATTGCTAAGATACACTCTAGAAAGCTATTATTGTATTATTAGTCTAAGTATCAGTTACTATCAAACTTTATCTTTAGGAATCTAACACCATTGAGTCAAAGCTAAATTAAATGCAAAAATAATTTGCATGTCTTTGATAATGCTAAAATAGCCTACTCAGTATAAGGGAAGGTGCACCTATAAGATTTTTCTGAAGTGTAAGGTATTTAACACCTGGCAACTTAGGTTGTAGTTTAAAAACAATAAAACGCTCCTCGACTGTATTAAAACGTGTTGGAAGAATGAAAAAATGCTTTAGAATGCCTAGTCTTTGATTTCTTAAAATTATGGCTAATGAACTAAAAGTTACTCTTCAGCATGTGGCTAACATTGCTCTGATCACACAATTCCTATAGCAGACAACAGATGGAGTTGCTAATAGGGAGGGTGAGGAATTAAACTGAAAACATATTTTCTAATCCCAAACCATGTCCTGCGGAAACAGAGATGGTTATTTTGTTTACTTTCATTGCTTTTCCCTTGTCTGAATTTTTAATGAAAAAGAGTAGTTAACACACTACCCTTCATATCAGCAAAGAACAGCTTTCTCACTTAATCATAGCTTGTGAATGGAACACGATGACAGATGACACTTGCTGGAAAAAAAAAATCAATCAATCAAGGCAAGCTGCTTTATAATAAATATAACAATCAAAGTAACTATGCAAAGTTACTTTCTTAAATAAAACTTCCAACTGGGATAATGGGGCTGATGCAAATAGTGTGCTATTAAAAATATGTCATGTTGCCCATAACCATCAGCTTCCAACTTTCATTTCCAGGTCTGAAAATAAACAAGGACTCCTGGTGCATTGTGGACAACAAGGCATTTTCTTGTTGTTGTTTGCTACATCAGCCCCAGTATAAGGTTTCTCTACATTTTAAGACTACCTTTGGAATTCAGGAAGCCTAGCAGACCTATGTTATTCTATAAATCAAAAATATATCCAGCAAGACTCTAAATGTCAATGCAAAGGAGAACAAATGTTGATTTATTGCCACCTGCATAGACCAACATGATGAAGTTTATGTTGTTATAAAAAATAACATATTTCTTTCAGTATGTGACATTGTAGTAAACTGCATGACCAGCATGCCCTGTATTTATTTCCAGAAGCATAATCAGGGCCACTGTTTACTTTAACCCCTTCATGACTGAGCTTGTTTTTAGTTTCTGTTCGTAAATGACTGACACACTTTTGACATTTTTGCTGTGTGATTTTTCCACATCAGTAATATACTTTCTTACAAAGTGCACCCACACATATTACATATTGTTTTTTAGAGGACAGATAGGGCTACATATTTATATCACATATGTGTGTCTAACGCCTCACTTAGGACAAATAAAATATTTAAAAAAAGAGGAAAAAACGTAAGAAAAAACACTTTTTTCCCAGTTTTGATTTGTAGTATTTTTTTTACAAAACCAGCATAGCTAAAAAAAATGCAATAAATACATGCATTTATTTGTCCTTTTATTTTTTTATTTTTTTACACTTTTTTTTTTCTTTACACTTTTCACTATTTTTAATTTTTTTACACTTTTCACTATTTTTAATTTTTTTACACTTTTCACTATTTTTTTAAAACTTTTACATTTTTTATTTAATTATATCAAGCAGTCATTGTGAATTAATCTCACTATTACTGCTAGATAAATTAATACATTTTTGGTTATTAGGCTGTTTCAAACTCCAGAACTGCCAATAATAAGTTAGTGACACTGATCCTGTAGCAGTTCAGGATTCAGCTGTCACTAATTAAAGGTTTTCTTGAATGTTCCAACAACAATCAGAAAACTGAAACATTCTTCTTTCAGGAATAGATACACTATGTATCTATTCCTGAAAGTGATAAAAAAAGCCACTATACGATCTGAGAGATATCTCTCTAGATCTATACGAGCTGTCAGAATGCCGGCTTTTGCCGGCATGTTTGCGGCTCTGCTTTGACTCTCAGACACCCGATATTAAGGTAGCGGGTGTCTGAAAAAGGTTAACCCTTTCATTAATGAATGGTAAGCGCTGACCGCTATTTGTGTTTGGGGGAAGGGATGTCAATAAAGCAGACCTTCTGTTTGTCATAGAAGGTCAACTTTTAGTTCCTATCCCACATCCAAAATGAAGTAAAACACATGGTACAAATATTGTTACAATGTAATAATGAATACGCAATGCAAACATTGCTTGCATATTTTGCTAATTCACAAGTCACTATAGCTCTGAGCCACATAGTAGGCTGCCTGGTCCTATCAATTTCTCTGGGTAAAGTAAGCAAGATGGTGGAAGGGAAATTATGAAAACAAACAAGAAACAATGTTATATTAAATATCACTAAGCCTATATAGGTTTCCTAAGAGCTAATTATTTCACATATTTTGGCATTGCAGGTTAAGTACAATGGAGAAATGGGCCATCAGTATTTGAATAAATTAAAATAAATATCTTCTAATAATGGAAGGTTTTCAGCTGTATTATAAAATGACTTTAGGTGCAAATATTGTAAAAATCTGTTCAAATATCAGACACATAAAAATATTTTGTATTTATTATTGTAGAAAAACAAAATGATCATATCATATAACACATGCAGCCTTTTGATTTTATGCCAGGACACACTCAGAGAAGGTTAACTTACATCATAAGAGCAAATTAATTGATCTTTACCTCTTACATTATGAATTATGGCTAAATTGTCATTAATGACTTATATATTGAAGGATCATTTAAGGAAATCCTTGACATGTTGAGTACTTACCTTAAAAAAGAACAGATGGTTATCAGATGGGAGTTTCATGTTTAGAAGCACCTTGTTCCAACAGGGGGGAATGGATCTCAAGTACCAAAGAGCTTGAAGCTACTTGACATTGCACAACACTTGAAGTAAATAATTCATGGTGCTGGGCAAGGACTCTCTTTAATAATAAGGCATATTTAAAGCTTTTACTGATTAGGGAAATGTATGATATAGTGTATCTAGTGATGTGAAAAACTTCCTCAAATCTGTGTAGCCAATATTTTTCCAGATTCAACACCTTGCCCCAGCTGACTGATGGGAACTAATCCTCAAAACTATGTACTTTCTTTACATCCTTCTTGATTTATCCTGCTAGATTCCGAATTAACCTTCTTCACACTAAACTCAATAATATACTTTATGATGGGTCCCAAATCCCCTTACCCAGACAACTGCACCTTGATAATACATGTCTTAAACAGATCTTCAGCTCTAAAGTGTGCCCAGGTTAGCCACTTCAGACCTCACTATACAACGCCCTGTGGTTTGTTCTAAGCTTGCCATATTTTTTAAAATGTAATATTTTTGGCAACATGCAACTTTAATATTCATATTAGCTATACAAAGAAGGCAATCTTAAAGCGTTTGTTATTTTGGAGGGAGGAATATAGTCTGCCCAGTGCTCTCCAATTCAACTGGTAACATTTCCAATATGCA